CGATGATTTTCTTTTAATTGAGATAGAGAGAAAAAATAAATTTTTTTTATTGAAAAGTTAATTTTTTAAACTTATAATTATCACAATTACAATTAATAATTTACAATTAATAATTTTAAAATTAAATCACAATTTATAATAAATGCTTGTCCGTCATCTATTTCATACATTCTCAAGATGCAATTATCGAGAGTATACAATAGAAATCTTCTACATATAATGTATTTCTCGTTTCTTACCTAGCGTCGCGCTCAGCGGTCGAGCGTGAATAATTTTATAATAGAGAGAAAATTTATGGCGAGAAAGAGTCTATTATATATATATACATATATATCATAGAGATACGATGTATGACCACATTTTAATCATATCACGCGAGAGTGCCGCTCACGCGGAAGTCATCATTATATCTACACATAAATAAGAAAAAGAGTATTTTAGAAAGATTTAAGTGCTTAGAACATGCGCATATATTATCATGACTTTTCGCGTGAATAATAAATTGTCAATGAATTTTAATGTCAAATCGCAGGACGATTGTCGACCTTCATAACGACGCCGAGATTTACGGCCGATATTTTAAATCAATTATATATAGACAAGAACCGTATTGTACTGTATCGTGAAAATTACGTGACAGACAAAAATCGATCGCAAATGAATCGCACGAATTGTTATTACCATATTATCTTGTTCTTCTTCTTCTTCTAATTAATTTACTCCCTTATTAGTTTCAGCCTCTATCCATGTTTCGTGGATATTAGCCTAAGAGTTAATTATCGTTAGCGAGTAAATATAATATTATTCTCGCTTGATAATCCAAGAATTCGTTCAATTAGTCAAATTCGAGTGGGTCGTTATTCGCGGCTCAAGACGAGTTGCACCGATCGGATTATCTAACTGTGGATGTTTTTTTCTAGATTGTCATATCTTCCAAGTAGTTACTTTGACAAGAAAGAATAATTATATAGGATTATAAAAATTTTTAAAAATATGTAAAAAATTTTTAAAATGATATTTGAAAAATTAATGATGAAGTGCTATCTGAGGAAGATATAAGTGCACCACAGCTAGCCAGATTGGTGCAACTAGCCACAATAGAATTTAATCTTTGACGTGACGCCGCGCGCCGCAATCGTGACGCTCACAGCCAAATGCAATTGTTCGTTGACCAATTTACACTTTTCTTCGACCAATCGAGTTATATTATCGAGTTACATTATCGAGATCTGCTTCGATATTGCTTTCATTAAGCTTAGTTAATTTAAAGTTAAATGCGCAGTCAAAAATCTATTCCACAAAACAACTTTTAGATAAATATGCTTTACATTATTATTTATTTTATTAATTTTTTATGTAAATAAAATTAATATATATGTATCTTATTCTAATTAGTAATATTAAAATAAAAAAATTAATTCATTGTTATTTAATTTTTGCAATTTAATCCATAATTATTAATTTATTACACATAAAATTAATTAAAATAATAAAAAATTATTTTAATTTATTTTATGTAATTAACCTTGTAATAAATGCTTTACCTGCATAAATGCAGATAAAACAAGTTACATCGTCTATTGAGAAAACTATGTTAGAAAATAGTTGGTAATTTAAATTTAATTTGATTTTCAAGGGTGCAAATCAGAAAACTAAAAAGTAGATTTATGGAATAGATCAGCCAAAGTAAATACGATAATTCTTTTGAACGAAACTGACAATGAGACGAGGTGTGAGGCAGGTTTTAAATGCGCTTTGTATAAAATCAAAATGTAAGATAAGTAACACACTATGTCTCTTTTCCCTCAGGCTTGCTTTACACCCACACAATTGAAAATATCAGAATTATCGTATCACGTACAATAAATTATCACATTTTCGTCGGTCTATTATTTGATTGAAGCAAAATCGGCCATATTCAACATTGGTCACCTACGCATTTGAATCTTTAATTAAATCGTTCTCTTTCACTTTATATCATACTTTTTTTCTTATTAACTCTTTATTTTTTTTTTTTTTTTTATTAGCGCTAAATCTGTCGATGACAGCTCGTCGATTTTAATACGTAGATACCTTGTAAACAAATCATTTTTCAGAGAAGAAGGAAGAATTTTTTATGTAGTAAGTAGAAAAAATGTCTGAATTTCAAATATAAAAAATACATAATATCGCGATCTTGACTTAAACAATAATCGATTTAGAGAAACTTGTCAGTTTTGTATAATTTTACCGAGGAACGTATGGCAAAGAGAAGACCACCCGACTGCAATAGAATTATTGTTTTGACAATGCTTTTATCTAAAATAGTATTAGCAAAGAAAACAAAAATTACATAATTTATCATCTTCTATTTCCAATTAAAAATTTTGCTCAAGTTCTTAAGACTTTTTGATGAAACTTTCTTTCCTTCTCTTTAAAGAGAATTCCGATTGAATTGAGAATACTTTCAAGTGACACAGTGTATCATGAAACTTGTTTTGTTTGTGTGAAAAAATATCTCGATGGCACGATTAACATTGTAAAATTGCAAAAATAAATTTAACTTTAAGGATGCATTGAAAGCGTCCATGTATCCACTCAATATTGCGAGAGCGAGTAAAACAATTATTCGAAGAATATATATAACTTGTAATTAATTATAGGATCAATATGATGTGACCTGACTCTTCATAGCTGAATTTAATAATCTATAGAGTATCATGTTACAAAATTTAATGCGGCAAAGTTACAGCAATCTGTCGCATGATGCTTGCCGCTCTCGAGGAAGATTGTTCGACTTACATTTCGAATGAGAGCGCGATCGATTTCGTGAAACTTTGCTTACAATATGCAAGAATTGATCTTGCCCATACAATACGTACATAATGTGGGAATACAACGATTTATCGTGTGAGCAACGTGTGTTTGATATTTCGAAAAGCAGAACACTGAATTTGATTTGACTTATTCGAAATATATTCAATATATCTCAATTTATATGAAAACATGTAAAATCTGTGAAAATAAAGAAAATGCGTTATGTTTAAAAATATAATTTTTGTGATAGCATTGGTAATTAATTAAACCGTATTAACTTGACTATTTTTTTAGTAATGGAACTATGTAATTGTTCATTTTTTCTTACAGCAAAATTTTCTCAAAGTTATTAATGATAAAAAAAAGTATTATTAATGTTCATGTTCAGCTTTTCTCGTTTAATATGTATCAACATCCACATCCATCGATAGTTAAATTTGTCGTTATTAGAGCTTGATACTTTAATAACTTTATGACAATTTTACTCATGTTTAGAATTCAAAGTAGTCTTGAAATGATACAAAAATTATTTTCCATATTCGTAATGTGAAACTCGAAGAGCACAAATTTTTTTTCTTAATTATATAATATTTATAAAATCGCTTGTACAGTACTCGTGCCTTTATTACGCGAGAGTACACATTTAGTGGCTGTAAGTTTCCTAAAAACAAAATGATATTTAGTATACTGAATTGATTCTTTTGATAATTTTAATATATCTTTCACAACTACACGATTTGGTTCAAATTTTCTCCTAAATTTAGTGCATTGATTGTCTGAATTCTATTCACTTAATATTTCTTTTAATCAATATAAAATAAGAATCAAATAGTTATTCAGCAGTCAATCAGATAGTTTAATAGTAAATATAGTATAATGAAAATGCGGACCATTATTCTTTTCTCTCACGATTCTCGCATGATTGTAATGTGACGTACGTTTAATTTTAATGAATATACTTCCTTATTAATATTTATTATTTATATCAGATATTTTATGTAGCATGTTTTCTCATCTTAAAAAATATGCTTAAAATTAATTATATTATTTATTAAAAAAAATTTATATGTGTTTTATCTCCAAGAAGTAATTAAATTTACATATAGTTTTAATATTCACTTTCTCAGGTATTTTAATTACAATTATTTTGCTATATGCCGCTTTGCTAGAAGAGGCCATATTTGGAAGTGTGAATTTATTCTCCAATTTGAAGAGAAGCGCATATATTTTCTTGCGGATGCACCAGATATCACACAAGTTCCTTCGAAAGTTTAAGCAAGAGCTTGGTGCACCTCGAATGAGCTCTCTTCGAATGGCATGAGTCTTACAGAAGTGTCCAGCTGGTTCTTACGATAAGATTTACATAATTAAGCATTCCTCGACCACAAATACAAATGTAAACGTAACTGTACGTAATGTAAAAAAATAAAAACAGAAAATAGAGAGAGAAAGAGAGAGAATGTATCTATATAGATAAAAAGAAGATATATACATATGTATATATTAATGCGATGTTGTAACGCGATGCGTGCGATATGCATGTAAATTTATTATAAATAAATTATTATAAAGCAGTAAAAAGAGCGTTTCTCCATAATATCTGTTATATAATATTTGTTAATAATATTCGTTATTAAGAAAGTTTCTTATTTTCTATCTTACTATCCCGATTATTATATTATATTAATTATACATATGTGTAGAAGTATACTAGAAATGCTAATAAGTAATAACATTGTACAGAAATTCATTTAAATACGCATTAAAAAAATTTTTGAAATAATTGAGAAAAACGCAATGGACATTCTAAAAGAAATAATGACTTTTGTAACTTTTAAAAAAAAATGTTAAGTAATAATGAAGTAATAACTGAATTTTTAACATGTATTCAATATTCTTATTTTTCAAATTATAAGTAAAAATTTAACATTATAGTTACTAAATTACTTATTTAATTTTTTCTTCTCTGCGTTTTCATTCCTTTACAAAATATCACTTTCTTTTTATTCTTTTATAAAATTAGGTTAGAGAATAAAAAAATGGGGTATCATATCAATTTATATTTATATCAAAAGTGCTTAAAATAATAATTTTAATTCTTAATACATTGACCGATGTTTTATTAAAAAAAAATAATTGTTACTATTCACTAAAGATAAAGGATTTTGAGAATAATAAAGCTAGGAAATTATAAATATGTGTATGTGGAATGTTTATTATACGTGTTTATGCACAAGTGTCCTATATACATTACATATATATTATGCGTGATCATTCATCTGCATAATACATAAATACAAGGTTTAAATATAATACATTATCAACAGAAATGAGTCCAACTAACAGACACTTTTTATAGGCTTCAGTACATTTTCAGTAAACTGTCCTACTATGTTACCTCTCGGATGGTAACATGCCACTACAACACATGAACCATCTCGTTTGGCCATTGCAATACCCATTTCAGTCGTATTTTTCCAGACAATTTGCGTAAAATGGCCTGCAAACAACAAATAAAACTTTAAATTAATACGTAATTTAAAAAATATTATAAATTTTACTGTAATAGGTGTAAAATTAAATTAATTAATCTTAGGTATTAATTTTCAATCTGTTTGCATACAATTTCTACATCTTATACATTTTTAGACATTCTATTAATTTTTCCATTGATTAAATTTGATATCATATTAAAGTATATGTATATGGAAATGTATTGCGATACATACATGTGTTAAGAACTTTGGGTTCGATGCCAAATTTATGTTCTTTTTTCTCGGAATACCACTTTGAAATGACTTCACGTGCGGAAACGATCAGTTTAGGATCAGAACACTGCATTGAATAAATATTTTCGCCATACGGAGACGACGATTGAGGTACGAGTTTATTTGTATTTAGCAACGTGTTTGCCCAGGCCTAAGGATGAATAAACATACATACATACATACATACATATATATATATATATATATATATATAAAAAGAGAAAGAGAGAGCTGACTTTTATGACATTTTTTTACATAATTTTTAGTTAAAAATATATGTAATAATTAATACATATATATAAATATGTTCTAATGATAATATTGTAATTATTGTATATTCCAAAATACCTTAGCAGCTGCTGTTAATTCCGGACTTAATCTTAAATCCGGTACACGATGCTTTCTTCGATACTCATTGTGAACCAGTAAGGCCTCCTGCTGCCATATTTGCTCGTCAATGTAATGTTGTTTCATATCGGTAAAATTAATCCGTTTCATAGAACCTGCGTCCACGGGTGGAAGAACATTCTCCGTGAAACTGCCTAAGAAATTTCCAGCGGGATTGTAATTACACACAACGTAGACTTCGCCATTTCGATTCCTAGCCATTCCCACCCCTAATTCAGTACTGTCTCTCCAAATCACTTGTGTAAAGTGACCAGTCTTCAACGTTGTAGGCTCCTTTCCATATTGATGTTGAGTTTCTTCAGCATACCTACAACAGACAAAAATTCCAATATGTTATATTTAAATATAAATATAATTATTTAATTAAATAATAAAAGATTTATTTGTAAAATATATAAATTTTTGTTACCGATTTTTTAAATACAGATTTGTGTTAATCATATTCATAAAAATTTTTAATTCTTCATTTTAATTATAAATAATTACTTACAGTTTATTAGGTGATTTATTAGATGGTTCAATAGAAAAATACAATTAAATGCTTAAAATAACATTTTAAACTCGATAAATCTTTTTCTCCTTTTAATTTGCATTTAATGTTGATTCAAATATTTTGATAACAAAGAGAATATAATATTATTTTTATTTCACTATTATGTTAATTATGGCTTTATATGTTTTCAATATAATATAATGTGGCAACTGTGTCATAACATATAATATATGCATTCACAATAAATATATGCAGCCATCTCACCATTCATTCACAGGCTCTTCGCCACCGACAATTGTCTTTGGATTGGAGCTCCACATACAATAGAGATTCTCTCCATAGTCAATATTCGCTCTGTGCTCTAATCTACCTTTAGCGGCCAATATATTAGCCCAGTCTTGACTTGTCTTGCACAGCTGAAAATAAATAAATTCCGTTATTTTCCAGTTAAAGTTGTTAGCAGAGATCCCTCCATGCTTCAGAGAATAAAGCAAGCATAAAAAATCGACTTTCTTCGATTCTCGGAAGTTATTCAGTGAGGGTTATGATTTTATTACGATTTTATTGCAAAAGGAAGATCGACAGTAACCTGCTTGCTGAGTCGTAACGGTGGTACTCCATGCCGCGATCGGTAGAAATTATGCGTGTCGAGGCAGACATTAACAAACTCCTTCGGAGGTCCCGATCTGCGTACAGACGGTTTACGTGTGTCAATCTTTGTTATCTATAACATAAAGACAATATCGTATGACTGACTGAGATCAAACAGTAAACCCACAATTTGTTAGTAAAATCTAGAGACGAGTAAATTCACAAAGATCCTAATTAATTTAATTATATTTCATTATAATAAAACACTCATTGTGTATATTTCAAACGTCGCATTAAAGTTTTTAGATTTAAAATATTTCTTTATATCACTAATTTAAAATCTACACATTTTGTAAACATTAAACTTATTAATTTGAAAATTACAAAATTTTACTGATATATCAATAGCATTATTATGTAATCAATAATATAATAATATAAATGATAAAAGCTGAACAACGTCCTTAGCTGTTGTAAATACGGAATTATTTATAGAAAAAAACTAACCGGCATGAATGATTTCCCATCGTCCTATAGGAATACGATCATCTGCTACACGATTAAAATATCCATAGATAAGCTTTTATCCGTGCTTCAGTTTGCGCGCGCGTGTAATCGCTCGTTAAATTTCTCTTACTTGCTAGGAAATTTACCGAGTGTGATAAATTACTAAATTATAAATAATAAAGAAATAACACTTTTTAAAATGTCATTTTAATGATTGAATTAAAGATTGTAATTTAAAACGAAACAGCGATAATTATCGTGAGATTCGAGCTGACGATAAGTTCAGAGCTTTCTGACAATCATCTGTTTTAAAAGCCTGCTCTTTATAGTTGAATTTCTTATATAGTTCATTTTCTTTTTTTGAAAAAGAGAAAAAATGCAAGAAGGTCAACTAAAAAGAACAGACTTATAATTTACAGAAAAGACAGATTTATAATTTACAAAATATGAGCGGTGAATTAAATTAAAGGTAAAAGTTAACACATTAAATAATGTTTTTAATAACGAACTTCAAAATACTACCAATTAAAAAAATTAATTAAATATTTATAAATAGATTTGTGAAAGGAAAAAAAGAAGAAAAGTTTTTTCGCTAAAGATTAAACAAAATTCAGAAAAATTCAAATAAGTTCTTTTAATTATCACTTATCAGTGCTATAGATAGTCGGCTAAAAACTTATAGCGGTTATTGAGTTCGCTGTTAGATGAATATACATGAGTTCGCGCTACAAATCGCTTAACTGTTTTGTAAGCAAGGCCATTAGCATGAGTGCAAAAACATCACGCGCGTATGAAGAACAAGTCCGGCGAATGAGAACGCGACGCCACGCGCGGATGGAAAATGGAGCGGAAAAATCGATTCCGCGAGTGAACGAAGTGCGATTTAAACTTCTGACAGATTAGTCATCGCATTAGCCGGACGATTATCCCAATGATCCACCAATCATCCAAAAGGTGCAAACCAGTGACTCTCGAAAAAGAAGCGATTCTGAGTCATCGCGAAGTGGCAATGCACCTTTCCGCGAAGCAAATCTTATGATGTTTAGGCTCCTTTCACACTGCACGCAATGTCACGTGTAGCGAAGATAGTCGTCAAAAAGTTACGCTTTCCAACTGGCTAATTTACCAAGTAGGTTGAAACCAAAGGACTCTTAACATGAAAAAGTTACGATAGATTAAATGGTGAAAAATTAGCTAGTCATCAAAAATAGTCAAGTTAAAATCGGTTATTTAATATTTTTATTTCTATTTAAATATATATTTTTATTTAAAATATGTAAACATGTCAATTCTTTTTTAGAATCAACCCAGCATTGCTAGTTTATGATTGTACCACAAAATACCAACAACCATATAGACTGAGATAATTATTTATTACATAAACAGCTGCAATGTAACGTGGTTTATTTTCACAAGAAAGAAAACTGACTTATAATGTAGCCTTACAAAGTATAATACTTTTATAAAAACGTATTTAGATATAATTTATAAGTAGCACAAACTAATTACTTATTACGTTGCATTGCAATATTATTAATATAATCAGCAAATTACATACATAATACTATCTGGTTTTTTTTTTTCGTTTGTAAACGTAATATAAGTGTTTGCATCACGCATTTATATAAAGATATATAATTGAGAAAATTTCCAGTATCTTACCGTTTAGACTTTTTGTAAACATTATTGATTTTTAGACTTTCAGACTTTAACTTTTCGGATTTTTCGCTTTTTTGCAAAAGTTTGGTTAACAACCTTGGAGAGAAAGAGAGAGAGAGAGAGAGAGAGAGAGAGAGAGAGAGAGAGAGAGAGAAAGAGAGAAATTTAGATAATAAAAATTTAAAATAAAGAAAAAGTAATTACTATGACTTCAAAATTTCAAAACCATCCAGTTTTGGCTTCTTTATTCCTTAAAATTATTAGATTTAGAATTCTGTATATTTCAGGTGTTTACCTCGAATTCTTGTAATTTTAGATTTTCTAATTTATATTTTTGGCTCTTTGATGAAATATCGATAAGCAATTACAATTAATGTCGATACCTGTGAGGATGAATATCTTGCAGAATCGGGAGACGCTGAAGAGGACCTAGCGCTGCTACAAGACATACCATCGCTTCCTAGACTACCATGAAAACTACCATGCAGGGAATTCGACAAAGGACCCGGTGATGCTGGCGATGCCGTCAATGGAGACTTCGATCTTACCGAATCTGTCCTCGACCTGAAAGCAGATCAATTACATGGTGTACGAAGAAATACAAAGCGCTCCTTTTTGCTCCAGACAGCACAGTGACGTATGAATACTTTACGCTTTAAATAAGCAGATCGAATTTATTGAATTTTTTGCACTAGAAGCTTTATATGAGCGAATGTAAATCAAATTTTGTTCGAATTGGATATGCTTTAAGAATTCCTTACAACTTACAATTAGCTATTTAATGCTACGTAAACAATAATTAAAATTGTTCTAATAGTTATCAATAAATAATTAGTTGTGTAGAAATAAAATTTTTAATATATAAAGAATTATTATATACATACATACATTTGTAACTACGTAGATTAACTTTGTCAAATAAGTATACAATAATGTTTATTATCAAATAAATTAAAGAATTGTGTTTATTTGATAATATTAAAACAAATACATTTAAAATATTTTTAAAATTAATTTAAAATGTAATAAGAAGAATTGTTTAAAGAAATAAAAACTCTAAATATACATAAGAAAAAATATTATTGTATTATAACTTTATTAATTTAATAAAAAAGAAATATAAATTAATCAAAAAATATTAAAAAACTTTGAAAGGAATTTTTATTAAAGTAATGATACTTAGGAAATAATGAAATTAAGAAATGTATATATAATAGTAATTTATATTTATTAGTTAATTTTATATATGTATATGTATATATGTATATATTATATACATACATATGAAATATAGCTTCATGAATCAAAATATGTTGAAAGAATTACGTAAATGATACAAATATTTAATGACAGAAATACAATAAATCGTAATCCAAAGTCAACCTCTTAAATTGTAGACGTAATTCAGAATTTTTATCTTATCGTTAAAGTTTGTTTAAGAAATGCCATTGTTCCTTTGATAATTATCTCTCCAAGAAGCAAAGTATAAAATAAAAATTACCTAATATTATTTTAAGACAGTATAATCTAATATGATCAATATTTCTTTTTCATATTGGTATAAATTGCTTTAATTAGCTATGAAGCATAATTATAAAGAATAACATTCTAATTACTGTCGTTTACGGATCTCGATGGAATGAGAGCAAGCAGAAAAGCCAATAAAGTTACGATGTGTCATGATCTTAATTGTAGAGATCACATAGACGATCATTATGGCATGTGCAATGAATCGAAGCGATCGAACATGAGAGTATTTAATAGCACACTGTGTAATTACAACGGTGTATCTTTAATCTAGTTCTCTAAAATGTTTTACGATAGGCTGAATACTGTTTACTCCAGTAAACAATTTACAACGTACATATCCATTATACACTCGTAATGTAAACTCATTATTGTTTTATGCAAAATTGCATATTGACTAATGAATAGTAATCTTGCCGGACTGTGCAGTTAACTTTACATTAAGATACAAACAGATTTAACTCATTTATCGCAACAAACGATCGTTGTAAATTATGTTGCATAATTTTCCCATGATTCACTAAATGATTCACTGATCTGTAGATAAATTTCGAGTTAAAAATACATTTTAAAGATACATTTTGAAAATTTTCGATATTACTCGACGAATTGACAAATCTGTTTATTATTATATGAAGTAAACATGTTCTGTGCAGGAAATTCTGAGAATATTTAATGTGCGTTTAACGAGTTTCAAGTAATTCGCGATCTGACATCTATTTATTGATGAACGAATACACTAACAGCGCACCAAATGGCGCAAGAACATATTTAGAACAGGGACCGCTTAAACTGCTTAAACTGCTTAAACTGCTTAAACTTATAAATCTTAAAAAATTTTTAGGAAAGTCTCGCGAAAAGACTTAATTAAATTTTAATTGAATAACTGTGAATGTTTATGTAAAACAAAGCATAACGAGACAATGTCCATTTATATTTATATTATAAAGAATTAAAAGTAAAATAAATATTATTTTCCTCTTTATTTATATGTAAATTAAAACATCTAAATGTAAACAAAACCATTTCAATTTAAGCAGTCAAACAATAAACTATTAAAAATTCGGACAATTTTTTTTTTTCAGTATTCAGCCGAAAGATGTTACATCATAGAAAGCTAAGGGAGAGCTGAAAATTCCAGGATTCTTACTGGACCTCATTAAAGATCACGTGGAATAGCGATTTCATTGTGCTTATCTACGTGTGTGTCGTCACATACGCCTTTACGAATACGGCTCATACTTCCTTCTTCCTACGAGTTTCTACAACGCGTCCACGGCCATGGTCGTCGCAAAAGAAAGGTTGTTAGTTTCCTTTGTTATGTCGCGCCCAAAGGAAGAAGACTGATTGTAACTCTCCAAGATGCTATAAAGGTGCGACCACAATAAAATACAGCACATCTTATAATAAAGCATAAATAATATTTTTTTAAATTTTGAGTTGACTCATATATTTATTTATTTTGCTATATTATTTATTATAATTAAAATCTCGTTTTTTCATAACTAAACAATATTTTATAAATAATTTTCGAAATAAAATTTCAGAAAGAAAATTTAATTAGAATAAGATTTTGTTATAAAGTCTAAGTATGAAACTAATTAGCCGAATAGTGCGCCATTAATGATTTTTCCTTTTATAATATTATCTGAATTATAAAAATTGATTTACACACGCATTATGGTACTAATAATTAATTATGTTTGGACAATTAATTGTAAAATTACTATTATCATAATCCATGTATAGAATCGTATAATTTTTAACATTCGGACAATTTCAAAAAAATTATCAATAACAATATAATGGTACATTGTCTGGACAATTACTTTCGTGACCTGTATATTTATGTGGCCTTAAAATATATAATTCATATAAACTTCAATCGCATGTAATAAAATTTATTGTACTAAAATTATTACTTATCTTTTTTCAAAGAATTAAGTAAGATCTATTCTAATATATTTGTTAAAAGACTCAAAAATAAATTAAAATCCAAAAAATTTAAGGCATGTCGTATTTTATTGCATATTTCATTTTTATACCTTATAGCATATTGAGCCTTACTCGTTTAAACGAGTTACATTGAAAGTTTTTCCTGACCACGCCACCTGCGTGGGCGGAATCGCATACACAGTCGAGCAACGATTCTTCTTCGATAAGGATTTAATACCGACAATACAAACCTCGCGGCGATTAATCTTTTGCTTAAATGATTCAAGCAATTTTTTCCCGTGAACTTGATACACACAAACTTGAGCATACAATATTTTAAGGCGTTATATATTAAACAAAACTATCAAAAATCATTTATAAATTTTAAAATAAAATACCTTTTCTTTTTCTTAAAAATTATACATTTACATATTAAAAACATATTTTAATTGTAAATTGAAGCAAATAATAGATATTTTATAAGCATTTATATATGTATATAATTATAAATAACATCTTTACATTTTTAATTTGCTTTATGATGAAGTATTTGTATTTATTTCGAGTAATTATTAATGAGTTATCAAATATTATACCAAATTTACAATAAAACATTATCATTTTGAGATCTTTTAATGAAGAAGAGAAGTATCAATGATGATAATAACTTAAAGAGAAACGCGTAAATATTTTACTCTAAGAAAATTTCAACTTTCAATTTAACTCAACGGTATAAATCTCATTCCTGGCTAGTTATCGTCCTATTACGCTATCGTGAAAGCCAGTAATTTTCAATATTCTTACAGAATTGCCATCTTCTTGCGACTTGTTTGAACGCAAACTTTCAGCTGTCGCTCTGCTTTCTACGTGCCACCTACGCTAAGTGAACTAGGACTATTTATCGATCCTAGTGAAGTATCAGAAAACATCTAACAATAAGTGATAATACAAAGTGCTAGATGCCGTTTACGGTCTTTAATAATCTTACTGTTGCTTCACTGGAATCGATATTTGGTTAAACTGCAAGTTTGTGCCGCATAGGCAATTATACCTGTCGGGCGACACTTGATCGACAAAACCGACCACCTTCTTTTTCGTTCCGTGCACGTTGAGCGATGGCATACTACAAGAGCAACGACTTACACTAGAGAAATGTTAAATTGTATTCATTTCTTATGAGTAATGTTAGAAATAAGATAAAAAACTGACAAGATAGAATTTCATAAATTCTTTAATACTCAACAATTATGAAGAGCGATGACAAAAAATTGAAAAGTATAAGGATTGTAATTTAATGTTAGATACATTTTAATCAATAAATATTATATTATATTGCTGGCTTTGCTTAGAAAATTAACTAGTCTTATTCTGGCTGTTCTTATCAAATCATAAAGCAACGTGGAAGCATCACAAAAAATATAAGTAATTTAAAATTAAAGAAATTTAATAAATTTGAGCAAGAAATAGAAATTTTTTTTTCTCTCATATAATTTCATACATAATTATTTTATTAAAATCTATTTTCAGATACAATTAATATAATGTTAAAAAATAATCATACAAAAATAGCAAAATATTAAAAAATAAAAACAAACTATTCCTTAATTAAATTTTTATCAAAGAAAATATTGTCAAATTGATCAAAAAATCAATTAAATAATAGTTATAAAGATTCTTTTATAATATTTTATGCATAAAACTTTTATTCTTAAAAATATAGATTTCTCTCCAAAGAAAGGAGGATGATGTACATATTACGTAATATTCTACATTCTATTGAAAACAGTCATTTCGATTTCCAACATTACTCGCTCGAAAGTGTTGAGAGAAATTAATTGCTCTACAAGAATGTAGGAAACTTGCTAAATGTCATATAACATTTCATAGATTCTTCACAAGAGAATCCGCATTAACCGAAACGAAAGAACAAGTATTCATCACTCTTGAGCTTCCAATTATCTTAGCAAGATAATTGAAAATGCATGGTCTGTGGTTTCTCTCGTCAGAAAATATCTTTCCTTATAATACATACAAAGATATATAGTCACACATGAATTTACTGTCCTGTGTATATTAATATTAATTTTCTTTATAATTCGAAAGAAGCTACCATTTATTGTACGTTTAAGTTTTAATATTAGAATTTTTGTCTCTTGTATATATGACTGCAATAAAATTTCTAAAGATAAAGCAAGTAAAAACAGTAAACTTGGAACACCCTATACATATATATATCAACTAACTAAGAGAAAGGTACTGAAACGCGAGACAGCTGATTTTACGACAGGTAAAGTTTTGTCTACTGCGAATCATGTAACAAGATTCTGATACACGTTCGTGCAAGAATAAATACTCTTCCAATCACGTACAACAACAAAACATTTCGCTAACACACAGATAATGTATAGTAAACTATAATATCAATTTATTATAAAAACACTGTAACATGCATCTACTTCAAAAGTTTCCAAAATTCTGTTTTTTTTTTCTAATAATATCTAAATCAATTCCAATATAAATCTAAAAAATTCAAAATTTTAAGTTTACTGTTTATAAAATATTAAATTTATACTTTATTATTATAAAATATATTTTAATTTTATTTATTACGTATTTCGATTGTCGTTTATTATGTCACTATAAGAATAGTAATTCATAAAAGAGAATAATATTTTAAGAATAAAAGATTAAATGATATATATATATATATACAATAATATTTCAAACTCTTTTGATTAAAACATCAAGCGATACATTATTACACGACCTGATTTAAAGGCATCTCATTAATTTCTATCATCTGTTAATATAATATCCATAAATAATTAATTTAACCAAAAAAAAAAAATGTATTACTTTAATACATCTGTTACTACTTAATGCTAATGATTGAAAAATTGTCAAACCTGCTAGACTTTGGTGTAACGATATCCCTTGTTTCGGAGGTATACTTCCTTTCGGCTCGACCGCCATTAAAGAGTTCGACAGTTTCCCTGGTAACTGTTTCCAGAAGAGGTTCACCACCTCGTCTTCCCTTGCTAAATGTCCTTTGATCCGTTTTACGAACCATGACCACCCTCGACAAGGGTTGATTGAACTCATGCCCGTGCATGGTTGGAGGGATCATAGCCAACGATTGCGAAAGAGGACCTCCGATTCGCGGAGACCTGTAACATAAACAATTATAATAATTAATTAATAACACGTACAATATTATTTAAAATAATAATAATTGAGATATTATTAATACTAAATATTAATGATGTCTTCGTACAATTATAATTTTTATGAATTAAAATAGTTTGAAAAGAGAAACATCCACTGAAATATTAGATATGTATTAATATAGGTTTCAATCATAACGTATCTATTTTATTATAATTATTATACAATTAATTTATACTAACATATAGTTAAACTTTCATGTACATCTCTAATAATATCGGAAATATGCAATATTATTAATATATTATTTGCGTATGAAAATTCATACTCTTTTGTGTACATAGCAACAGATTATATAATATACATATGATATATTCTGAAATTATCATATTTAATTAAATTAAAACATATATGCGTATTTATATAAAATATCCATAAATATATTTATTTTATTGCTCAAATTAGTTATTATTTTTGTTTCTCCGTTATTTTGTATGAATGTTATAATACTTTATTTATTTCAGTATATGATTGCATACCGTATACTTTTCAAATACAAGATATGCAGCATTAGCTGTAAAATAGCATGCATTAAATAAGTTGTTAACCAAAGAAGAACCGATAAATCGTCACTATTCCGTTTCCTCCTCATGATCAACGATCACATGTTGCAAACCTGTTCTTAACGATACACGCAATTAACGTCAATTGCTGGTGACTTTAATTATTAATAGCCTCCTCTTCGAACACTTCTGAACTTTCTTATGCATATAAATCAGTATCTTGTTTTCTCCGCTCTCATTGATGCATATCACAAACAAATGACATTTTCTAACCAGAAGCGATAGTAGGAAAATAATTAAAATCAAAGCATTTAAATCATCTACAAAAACCACAGCGACTATCAGTATTTCAAATAACAATGACATTTACAATCTTTGTTTTACATAAAAGTTATTATACAGGGTGTTTCCTCTAACTCGACCATTTAAAATATCTCCGTTGTTTTTGATAATACAGGCAAAAATATAATATGTTCGTTTGAAAGGGACACATATTATGACAAGCAAAATTTTTTTCTCAAGATCATAGTTTTTGAGATTTCGAGGTGAACTAAATTTATAGAATTTATTCCAATTTGATATAATTCATTTTAATTTATTATTGTGTTAGATTGAATCAAAACTTCGTATTAAGTGCGTAAATATAATAATTGTATTAAAATAATAGCATTTAATAAAAATTTTGCTTGTTATATATTTCATAGAAATTATTAGAAAACATTTTTGAAAACCTAATATTTTTCGAAATATCTTGCAAACACCTCTCTTTTTTCCACAGTTAATGCAGTGTAACGCAGTGCATTGTCACACTTAAAATGTTGAAGAATTTTGTACGATATCGCTTGGTCGAAATTAACACTGGTTGTAACTAGAACGGAATAACTAGAACGAAATTCTCTTTCGACGTAAATCATCATTTGCGTGCAAAACTCCGAATTAATCGGACGATTAAACAGCAGTGTGCACGTAAGAGTAAGTACAAGGAAGATCTTCCTCATTACATCTAAAGCGTCCCCTTGTTAACCCATCTTAACCTTTCGTAACATCGCGAATGAGTTTTTCTTATGAGATAATAGAATGGTTATTTTATAACAATAACACAATGTGTGTATGTGTATGTTTCATTTTCTCCTTTTCCGAACATCTAAATGTATAAATAATGTTCTTACAAATACATATTATTTTAATACACTTTTATTATTTCCTTTCACCTTTAAAAAAGTATATTCCAAAATTTAAAAAAAAATTAAGCAGTAACGATTAAGACGATTATTTTAATTAAACTTGTGTTCCTCCGCAGAATTATTTTTTGTCGGACAAATTTCGCTTTCAGATACTCACAATTAACAAAAGAAGAAAATACTTCAGTAAAAGGAGTTATTTGCATAATTTAATGAGAATTCGTGAAATTTGAGAGAGAGAGACGTTATGCGAGAGGCGAAAGTATAGTCAACGATACAATTGTACCGTTAAAAAAACTATGTGTATGCACTTTATTATTACAGATCATCACGATGAAACTTAAAAATGTATCTTGAAATGAAAATGAGTAATTTTTTTTCTTTATTGCTATATATTTGATATTATAGTAAAACAGATACAACTATTAATCTGCTGTTATATAGTATCGCTTCTTTTTACAAAAAAAAAGGTAAATCTCTATAAATCTTTCAATAAATTAATTTTAATTAAAATAGAGAAGACTGTAACATTAATTCCTCTAAAATTAAAAAATTTTTTTTTATAAACAAATTTAAGCAACCACATTCTTTGTAAAATGGCACTATTTCTTTAACTAAAAAACATGAAATATATCAATATTAACAATAGAATACTATTTCGAACTAATTTATATCCGAAATCTGTTTACAAAACACAATGTTCGAATTCATGGACCACGGTTAAGTTTTTTACTACGAAGAAAGTCCATGACTTCCTATGAATAACGGGTCGGTTGAATTACGTTAATAAAGGCCCGGCGCGCACAATTAGACTTCTTGTTCAATGTGCACTTTCACGGCGATCACTCGCGCGGTCAATTCGGAGCGAAGCACTTTTCGCGGTTGCGAATCCGCGCACAAATTCATGACTGACCGCTATAGAAAAATTTCTCAAAAAACTTATGTTCACGATTATATAAGTTACTTCTTATACAAATCCTTATTAGTCCTCTTCCGTTTAAAAGTAAAATAATATATAACGTTTTTTTGAACACTATAATATAATGTCTCCCGTTTTATGTGAACATCTATTTTCTTCTTATTAATTATGCAAATTAAAAAAATATTGCAGAATTATCTTGGTTCAATTTTCTAAAGAAGAAGAGGAAAAAAAGACTATGATAACGAAGTAAATAACTCGACTTACGATGTAAATAGCTCGACTCAGAAACGTCGTTTTCAATAAAATCTCATCCGGTAAGACACCATAGCATTTTCCCGCCGGGGTTTCAACTACACTTGGTATAAGCCGTACGACAGAACGAACAAAACTGGCACGTCGACCACAACAGTGAAATAGAGAAAGAGAGAGAGACGGTTCCTCTCCCGGAGAGGAAAGGTGGCCAATTAGCCGTTACTCGGCGCACATGCCTCAACCAACTATCCGACGCAGCTGCGGCGGTACACTGTATCGCGTCGCTGCACCGCGCTGCACTGCTCGCGCGCTTCGACGGAATCGCGTTCATAAACGCGCACGATTCTCCCGCAGGTCTCCCTCAACGAGCTGCGAGCTGTAAACTGCCGTTCATTCGGCTATTCCTTGAAGGAAATTATCGATAGTAATATGTAAACGATTTTTGTCTCATACGAAAAAATATGAGAAAGAATAAATTTTATTACTTCTAATAATTATTTTTAATAACTGTTAAGAAAAAAAAAATACAAAACATTATTTTCAAAAATATTTTTGCCAAATTTTTAAAAAGGCAACGTTGAACTATTGACTGAACTCATTCTACGATATGCGTAAAAACGTTATGTAATTTAATTCGCAGAATAGGACTCTTTACAAATAAAATTTATTTCCATAATTTATGGGCCGTAAAATATAGAACGCGATTTAGTTATATCTGATGCAGATGTATGACAAAGAAGAAAGGCGAAACAGGACTAAAAAAAAATGGCTTCGTGTACGATGCATGTAAGTTTCTTCCGCTTTCGCGACAAAGCGTGCTACTGTGCACCTCGCAGAAAGCAGCAACATAATAATTCGAGAACGAAGACGTACGGCCAAGCGTGTACCGCTATTCCGGCTGACCGGAATCACTGCTCTGGAACAACACGGTATCGTCTTCTTGCTCGATTCGAGAGTAGAAGCGCATTGATCTCGAGCGTGTAACATTATCGAATAGCACAGTAATGTAAAATTTATGGTTTCATAATTACTACTAAATATTTAAATATTATACTAAACAACCCCTGTTAATCAAAAATCATAATGCTATATTTATTTTATTTATCTAATCAGATTTAATATCTCACAATTTAATCTAAATGATTTTGTTTAGTTTTAAATAATTGCATAAGAGAAGGAACTTCTCTTATGTTGTAGGATATAATTAAAATGTATGTATATACTTATTTATCTAACCCCATAATTTTTTTAAATCTATTTTTGAAAAAATGTACAAATAACATTTATATATGCTGAATTACTTAACAAACATCTTAATGTTAAAATAATTTCAACAACACCAGGCGTAACATCTGTATTATAATTTCTTCAACTTTCTATTGTTACGATTTCTAATTTATGCAATATTACATTACATTAGATTAATATATTTTAACAAATTTAAATTTACTAATTGTAAAGTTGAAAAGATTTATTATTAAAATAACTTAAATAAACTTTTATAACATAAATTTTTTATAACTGACTCTACCATAACTCTATAATTTTAATTACCTAAGGAAATTCAATAACTAAATTATAATATTAAAATAATTTATAAAAATTTATCATGTAAATTTTACATAACTTATATTCTATTATAAGTCAATATAATTCTAATTTAAGTGAATGTAATAATTAAATTAATTTTTGTATATTAGATAAATATTCACATGAGAAACTAAGTATAAATTTTATCATAATCAGTTGAATAAATGTAATTTAATTATAAACCTGTTTTTTATTTCTCATATACATATTTATTAATTAATTTCGTAAACTTGTCCATTTAATAAATTATAAAATATTTTTAGATATATTTCGCTCTTTTTAATTTAAAGTTTCTTTTAGCATAATTTTATGCTATCTTATGATATTTTAAAAACTCGTATATTACTTTCACATATAAAAACCATAGCAGTGAAACAGACGTTGTATTGTATTCTTTCCCTTGACTCTCCTTATCTATACGATTTATCGACGAATTTAATTTATAACTACGGCACGTGCCGGTGCGCAGCCACGCTCGCATAACAGGCGGAACA